CTCAACCCAGCTGGTTATGCGAATCGAACCAGCAACTTTCGCGTTATAAGGCGACAGCATAAACCACTGTACTACCATAACCATGCCAAGCACTGACAACATTTACGTAATTTGTACATTTAATCTGTCTGTAATGCATTGCCAAACCAACACTCTGGTTGTGTTTATGGCCACAGTATTGCCTTTTTTAACGATTACATCTTTGTGTTTTTCATACAGCTCCATCAGCAGCGTTTGTTCTGCGGCGGAAAGAAACACCGATCTCGTTTTAAACACTTTCCGACTCATTTGGTCGATCTATCGTTCATCCATTCATTTGGGCTTCTTAAATATCGCGGGTGTGCGCACTAAGTGAGACTATGCAAGTCTGCCTTGAATAAGCCTCGATTAGTTAAAGCTGAACTGCGTTCGTGGAACGACATGAGGCTAAGTTTAGAGATGGAGCTAATTTGAGTCTCACTTTTTCGCGTAAGTCTGGCTTTATTTAGCTACTTTCATGGAATACCCCCATGGTCTGCCAGTCCATCTCATGAATATAATAATAACAATGACAACAATAATAAACATAAACAATCCAACTCACTGAAAGGGAATAATGGCTGACATGTAAATTTAAATCTGTGAAAGATCTGGCACTCCTTAGAGAGAGAGGCTGAAGGGAGCAACTTCAGCATTAGCGGCGTGGCATGGAGTACGTGGGACTCTGTCTACACATGCATAAGCCCCTCTGAGCCTGTGCAGCGGAGCAGGGCAGTGAGTTTTATCCTAAAGGCCAACATTTATGTGAGGATCTCCCATAGATGCCTGGGGCCACCAGTGGGCAGCCTGGCTGCACCGTTATCTATGGAGGATTTATTCTCAAGGCTGCAAATTCTCCACAACATCTATGTGATAGAAAATAATTATATTAACTAGGAAAAGGGTAAATGGATTAGCTTCACATCTTACTATGGCACAGGACAAAAAAAAAATTCTAGAATTATCAAAATTCTAAAAATACGCAATGGACTGGCATCCTGACAAGGGTATCTCCTGCCCTGCATTTCCTGGGATGGGTCCAGCTGACCCTGCACTGGACAAGAGGTTATGGACAATGGAGAAGAAGAATGTAAATGTGCAACTACAATAAAGGATATATGAAATTCAAAGAAAAAAACATTTATTCATCCATCCAATCTCATTATACACCTTTAGTCACTATTCTCAATATATTATTGGTATTATTTATACAAAAAAAGGGGTACTGCTTTACATTAACTGCACCTTCACAATACATTCATAGAACATTCAAAAGCAGTGTGTAAGTATACCTTAACATTCTAACATGCCTTAACAGCTATAATATACATTAATCACAAACATCATGTGATTATACAATTATAATTATTGTTATTAATATATATTACAGCTGTCAAATCTTCATTTTAAGTATTATGGATGCAATGCTCTAAGACATGTTAAGGTATACTTACATGCTTACATGCTTATGAATGTTCCATGAATGCATAATCAATGCATTATGAAGGTACAGTTAATATAAACATTACCAGAAAAAAATTATGCCCCTGTCTGTTTCTCCTAAGGATCTGCTGTGTCCTTCCAAATATTAACACAAAAAAACTGGAAATGAGTCATTTAAATGTCTCAAAACACTGCTTTGGTTTAAAATTTATATTCCAGTCATTTGTAGTTTAATAACCAATGCGTCCCCAAGCAGCAGGGGTGTCAGATGTCAGCCAACGTACCAGCTGTATCAACCGCTGACAATGGAAGACATTAGAATACATTAATGGCTCCCAGGCTCACACACTGCTTTGCATAACTTACTAACGTCCTCAGTGTGCATAACTGAAGGCTACAATGATGTTGGATTTTCAATTCCCTTAATCTGCTGACTATGGCATCCTGCCAAATGTAATTTTCTGCCTTAGTCTCTAGGTTATAGGGCATAAACGGATGGATTGTTGGATGGATGGATGGATGGATGGATGGATGAGTACTGTATAGACAAAAACTGCGCTGCCTAGTCAGTGATCTGTTAGTGCCAAGGCCCTGGTGTCTAGCTGAAAAAGTTTACCAGAGCTGTGGGACCTAATCTCCGCCATCTGCTGAAACTTGGGAACTGGGCTTTTGCAGGATCTGTCCACGAGGCCGGGAATCTGCTGCATTATTAGAACCGTGATATCCTATGTTAAAGCTGGTTACTGACCTTCACAGGCCCAGCTTATCTAGAAACTCACTGAATGCACAAACCCTGTAGCCCCCAGAGGGCGGCACAGCCAGTGTTCCAGAGCAGGGTGCAGGGAATTATCAGGCGAGGCCTAATCTGTAATTGGGGACACACCCTGCCAATCAGTGCCTCGTAATTACACACCGCCGCATTACTTTCAGGTTTCCAAACTACAGATGAGCTGCTAATGGAATTCCCGCCATGTCTCCACAAAGCAGGGTACCATAAGCTCAATTAACTCCCTAAATGTAGTCAAAAAGTTTCCAATACAGGCAGTTACATGCAAATGCTCTTTGAAACGATCATGTTCTAACAGGGGCCTCCGCCTACCACTGTCCTTCACAAATACTGACCCCGTCTCATTGTTAATACCATCCGTTACAGACAAAAGGAATAATCGTGTGCTTATTAAAAAAAGATCACACATGGTCTCAGGCTTCTCTATTAAGGCCTTGATATTAAAAACAGCGGCTTTAATGGCCAGCTTGCAAGCATCGCCGCGTCTCTGTAGATCCAGGGAACGTACTTCAAACATCAGTCTCCCCCAGAACCAGTGGCCCAAACCTGGAAGGAACAGCACAGGCCCCATTGAAGATTATAAAGAGGTTTTTTATCTCAAAGCCCAAAGCCTCTTTTCAATATTCTGATAAGCAGAAGTGATAGATTATGGGGAAACCTTGCCTTCAAATGTGTCAAATGCCACCATAATGTCTCAGCCAAACAAATGAGTGGGGATGAAAAACTCCCCATATAAATTGCTTTAATGTTTTAGAAACTGCCAAACTTGGGGGAGATTTAAAAAAAAAAATTAAAATCCAGCATTATCACAAGGTGACATTATAGCATTCTTAATATGAATATGAAAATACAGAAGGGGTAAAGTACAAGTGATACTCTGTTAATCCCGACTTCAAAGGATGAATAATTAAAAGTACAGTGGTGGAACATGAAAGGCTGGAGCCTGCCTTCCCTCCCTCGATGACTGATGTATTTGAAAATCATGGATCCTGCATATAACCACGTCTCCTTAAGGTAAAAAGGGACACATACAGATGCGGAAAAAACTAAGAGGCCACAGCACAATTTTTTGTTTCACTCATTTCTCAATCTATGGTTATGCGTCTGTGAATAATATATATATTTTTTACAAACAGCAGCCTGGTTCTTCCCTGTTTCTAATGAAGGGCTTCTTCCTTGCTTTGTGGGACTTCAGTCCTGCTTCAAGGAGCCTGTTATGAACTGTCCTAGCAGTGCACTTCACACCTGCGCTTAATGTTTCCCATTCCTTTTGAAGGTCATTGATGTCATCCTACGATTCATGAGAAACTGTCGGATAAGTTAACGGACTGACTCGTCTTTGAGCCGCAGTTTATAAAATTTTGCCCAGCTGGTTCCTGAACATCTCAGGGGCATCAGACCCGTGATCCTCGCTTACAGATGAGTGGTCAGGTGGCACTGGAGCCGCGATCCCGTGACGGCCCCATCTGATAATGATACAGCCCCCGCTTTTAATGTCATCTCATTGACCAAGAACTCTGCCATCCTTGTCCACTGTGTCCTTTACAAAATGAGCAGCCCCTTGTCTCATTGCCATGTTAGCTTTAACACACAGATCAATCATCAGCCCACCTCATATTCTGGCCCACCATCACAATTATATGAGTCACATCCTCAAAAGGACCGGCGCATTGATGGCACACCTGTACCTAACGTATAATTATACAACTCGGCGCTTTTGATTCTCCTGTCATCCACGGAATACAGCACCGGGGCCTCCATCGCCGAGGGCCTAGTCTCTGTCTGCCTGCTAGATAATCAAGACAATGGTACACTTCCCTGACTCTCATCATTCATTGGATGGACATGTGGTGCAGAGGCAGGGGCTGGGGGGGGGGGAGGAGGCTGGTGACCAGGGAACTGAAAATAAACTGGAAAAGCAAAGATAGTGAGATGTATTTCGACACAACACCTAAAGATCTGCTCCACTGGAGCTAAGAAGATAATAAACTGAACATAGTGGCATCATTATAGACTCAGGCACAGACCCAATGCCATGTATGACAGAACAGAGCCAGGGATCTTGATCACACGGTACCCCTAACCCAGGGTGACTGTATTCGGTTCCACACAGGCACATTACACGGGTGGTGAAATTTTAATTTACCCCCGGACGTGTGACTGAAAATGGGTTGAAATTATAAAGATACCACAAATGACCAGATTCACTGCAGTTTCTAATGATGATTCAGTGCACTAGCCTGCAATCTTAATTCTTCATTCACAGCTGTGTGTTTTTGTTTAATTGAAACCAGTGAGCATTTTGTCTCAGTAGATCAATTAGAAATAAACAGGAAATAAACTCTGAATGGCATTTTAATTACTCACATCCCTTATGTGCATAAAGTAAATGGCTAACATGAGCCCTATTGTGCTATTCACGCTCACATGGATTCACCAGTCTCTTTCCCCTTTAAAACTCTTTCATGGGGCTGAGGGTAGGGGGGGTGGATTTCTCAGAATCTCGTGCATTTCTGGCACACCATATCACCAGTCCTACGAGAGTGAGGCTTTTTAATTTGCCCATAATTCCCATGACCTCGGCTGCTCCACCACCCAATGTCTCTTCTGCTTCTTGTGCTTCTCTCCTCTCAATTCCTTCTTCCCGACCGTCTGTCATGTAGCTCTGTAGTACACAGGCAGTCCTGATCTTACTAACTCAGGGCGACCGTGGCCAAGTCACCCTCTATGCCCAGAGGTTGGCGGGACCCACCCATCTCGGAGTCGTACTCCTCCATGGTGCTGACGAAGTGTGGCCGCGAGTAGAAGTTGTGTGGCCCAGGCTGCTGCAGGCCCCCCAGGCTGAAGAAGCTGCGGCCGGTGGTGGCACAGCCTGCGAATGCCCGCCGGCTGGGGATGCAGGGGAAGCGCGTCCAGCTTCTCATCTCCAGGTCGAAGGCCTCGAAGGCTGTCACCGGCAGCTTGCCCTGCCGTCCACCTGTGAAAGACGGCACATGGGGTTAAAGGGCACCGAAGAAGAGAGCGCTGAGAGGGGGGTGGGGGTGGTAAAATCTGATGGAGAAGGCAGCGGCCCTGAGGCAGCCTGAGAAGGACGACGGCGTGGGATCCAGAATAAGGCGGCGCGTCACGTTCACTCATGCATGCGGGTGGCATGATCGCAGGGTGTATTTTTAGACAAGCCTCTCGCAGCACGGATGCAGGAGTGAGGAGACCATCTCCTCGTTCTCTCTCCATGGGTTTACTATGTTGCTCTCTGTGGTAGTCAGTCCTGTACCCACCCACCCCCAGCCCCCTTGAAGCAAATCCAGACATGTGCACCGGCTACAGCAGTACAGCCCCGCACAAGGGTATGGGGTGGGGGGCGAGTTGTTTCGCCTGACACTGGCAGGTTTTCCACGCTGATCCGTGTCCCCCATTCCAGAGCCTCCTGTCACCAGGGTCCCAATCAGCATACAAGCTGGATAAATTAGGCCAGGCAGACAGGGGTGCACGTTGAGTACAGCCCCCAAATTCGGGGGCCCGCTGTCATTCAGAAATGCCTGCCATGGAGTATAAGCAAACCAAGGGTGGGGAGAACTGGGCTCAAGCTCCACTCCACCTCCTCAGGGCACTCAAAGGATGTACACATCACTGCACTGCCAAGACTCCCATCTAGGGGGCGCAGAGAACCTGTCAACAGTGAGGGCAGGGTCGAGTGCGGCGCTGTGGAAAATGTCACAAATTCTGCATGTGTTGAAATTCCCTCTCATCGCTGCCAAAGGGGGAAAGGCTGAGGGGGGGCGGGGCAAGGCTCACTCCGCCACTGATCCATTGCCAATTCTGGTAGTTTGTTTTCCATTGAGAGAGAAGGCAGAGGGAAGAGCAAGAGCACCCAGCCTCTGCTTACAAAGGAGACCAGCTCTCGCGGTAGAGAACAGAGGCCTTACACCAATAACGGCTGGACTTTTGGATAACAAAAGCATAAGGTAAAACAGAACTGTGCCAATGAGACATAAACAACTAGCCAAGATAACTGGTTCTGCTGGCGAGAGGACGCGGAGCAGAACCCAGAGCCCGCAGTGTTGGGAAATAGAATGGACCCCCAGTAAGGGGAACGTCTCACTTGATTAAAGCATCGCCTGTGCTGCCACCGCGCAGGAAACTTCAATGCAAAGGAAGATCAAAGCATGTGCAGAAATCATTAGGCTAACAGTAGAATCCCCCCCCAAACACGAACACACACCCCTCCCAAAAAACAGCATTCTGTTCATTAATGAGAAGCTCACACATGCCTTGTTCTGAGGCTTGTGATCTGTGCTGGGGCTGAGAGGGGGCTGTGCAGGGCGGGGGGGGGGGGGGGCAGAGAGCATCCAAGGCACCATCTCCACGGCGACACATCGGCTCCTGCCAGTCAGATCACCTCAAGCCGCATCCAAGCGCATTTCCATAAATAAAGTGATTATCGGGCAAACACATCTGTCACCGGACCGCCTGGTGCAATTCTGCCACAGACCCGAGAAATTATGGCTCCATCCAGTCTGGAGTCTAATGATGCAAGTCCACTATTGCCGTCTGGCCTGGAATGAAGCTTGTTTGTCTGACAATAAAAACAGGATGACGATCACAAGACCATCGACATATGACGGCAAATAGACAAAGCAGAGATATGCAAAGGGACATGGCCCACGCACTTATCTGTCATGTGCCCTTCCAGTTCACATCGGGCTGTGGAAAATGCCAGGCAGTTCTGGCATAAGGATGTCAGAATGTGGAGATTTCAACCCATAATAGTTCATAAGAGATTTTAAAAAAATCTCCATGATTCATGTTCACATAATGGATGTTTTGGTGATGACAGAGGAGGCTATTATGAGTATTTGGGTCCAGGATACAGTACTCTGATGTGGGCTTGCTTTAAAAAAGCAGCATACCTGATACAGAGAGAGTGCGCATAAGGAACACATGAAATGAATCATTGACCACCTAAGCAGACTGCCCTTCCGGACTCACGCTGGCTGAAACCTCGGTTCTGACCGGCATCCTCTGCTGCCACTGAGTTGACAGGCAATCACGTGCACGGAAGGATTGTGTCCGAGGTGTCACCAGATCACTGGACAGCCGCTGTGATGCCACCTGATATGCCTGTCACTGGACTGAGAGGCATGTGCGGGGACAGGGTCCAAAGCTCAGCATCATGTGGGCCTTCGGCAGGCGGTGGTGCTGTGACGTGTGAGCTGAGCAGTCAGCCACCATGGGCCCAGGCCAGGTTAAATTACACGGTGAATTTCTGCACTGACTCGGCCAACGTGACGACAGCCATATAAACTCAATGCGGCATTCTGAACGCATTCAGAAAGGAGCACTATGAAAGGTTTAGGCTATGAAAGGATGTTTTGTTGGCCTGCAGTGTGTCAGAAACAGGAGGCTCAGAAGCATGCGATGGCACAGGCCGTCACAAATGCGGGTGGCAATACTCCTGCCCTTGTTTCCTGTTGTTATTATTAGGGCTGAGCAGAGCTGAGCATCACTTGTACTCTCTCTCTCTCTCTCTCTCTCTCCCTCTCTGTTACTCTCTCTCCCTCTCTCTTGTTACGCTAATGAATTTTCACTAGCCGTCAGTCCTGAATCTTTTCTTCGGAGTGACGGACTGGCAGCCTCAAAAAGAGAGCGTGCCGATAATGATTATCATCAAACACATAAGTAACGGTCTCACTGTCGTAAATATTCAGAGTAATCCTTTCTTCCTCTGAGCTCTCTGTGTAAAAACTCACACCCCCCTTCCTCAGGCGCAAGTAAGGAGCGCGCAACATGTCAGCTGAGGAGACTGAGAAGCAGCAAGGAGGACCTGGGGAACAAACAGGAGAGCCAGAGGAGAAGGAGGAGGAGGAGGAGCAGACGCACCTAGCATGTAAATCTTGTTCCCGCGCAGGAAGGAGGCGGTGCCATAACGAGGAGTCGGCATGGAGGACAACAGCTGCCACTGGTCTTTGGCCGGCTCGTAGACTCGCACCAGTGCCTGGGGGGTCGTGTCCACACCCATGCCCCCCAGCGCGTACACCTTCCCGTCTGAGGAGAACGCAGACACAAAGGGCACACAAGACGTAAGAACATAAGAACATAAGAGATATGGTTATTTGGCCCATCAAGCTCCTTTGGGGAGAACTTGACTAATAGCTCAGAGTTGTTAAAATCTTATCTAGCTCTGATTTAAAGGAACCCAGGGTTTTAGCTTCCGCTACACTAACAGGAGGACTCTTTCATACTCTAACTACACGCTATGTAAAGAAGTGCTTTCTCACATTCATTTAAAAATGTTCTCCCGCTAATATCCACTTATGGCCATGAGTTCTAGTATTTAAACTAATATTTAAAAAGCCAATTGGCTGAACAGCATCCAGACCTGTTAGAATCTTATATACCTGGATCATGTCCCCCCTTAGTCTCCGTTGACAAAGGCTAAATAGATGCAGGTCAGCTAACCTCATAACCTCATAAGACATTCCTCTAAGACCAGGAATCATTCTTGTAGCCCTACATTACACTCTTTCCAAGGCAGCAATGTCCTTTTTAAGGTATGGTGACCAAACCTACACACAATATTCTAGGTGGTGTCTTACCAAGGAATTATATAATCGTAGCATCACCTCCCTTTACTTAAACTCCACACACCTAGAGATGTAACCCAACATCCTATTGGCCTTTTTTTATCACTTCCCCACACTGGCAAGAGTGGGACATGGAAGCATCAACATACACACCAAGGTCTTTCTCATAATCAGCTACCTTTATTTCTGTGGAACCCATAAAATATCTGTACTTTATATTTCTGCTCACTGCATGGAATACCTGACATTTATCTATGTTAAATTTCATCTAGGTATCAGCCTAGTCACTAATTAAATCAAGATCCCATTGTAGCCTCTGTGCTGCTAGATCAGTATCTGCTACACCACCCACCTTGGTGTTGTCTACAAATTTAACCAGTTTACTGTATGTATTGCTGTCAATATCATTAACCTAAATATAAATATAAATTAGGAACAATAGTGGTCCTAAAATTGAAACCTGCGGTACCCCACTATGAACGCAAGCCCACTGTGACATCGTGCCTCTAATAACTACTGGCTACTTCCTGTCTGTTAACCAGTTTTTGATCCAAGCTGTTACAGTTCCTAAAATCCCTGCAGCTTTGAGCTTAAGCAAGAGCCTTTTATGGGGGACAACATCAAAGGCTTTCTGGAAATCTAAGTAAATCACATCATAGGCCTTTTTGTGATCAATTACTCTTGTGTGAACTCAAGTAAATTAGTTAAACAGGATCTACCTCTCCTAAATCCATGTTGGCTATCCCTCAGAATGTTATTTGAATCCAGGTAATCTACCATTTTCACTTGAATTATAGCTTCCATTATTTTTCCAGTAATGCTAGTTAAACTGATTGGCCTATAGTTTGCTGGATTACTTCTATCCTCTTGTTTGAATATGTGCGTTATATTAGCATGCTTCCAATCAGAAGGTACCACACTAGCAGATAATGATTTCAGGAATAGTGAAGTTAAAGGTTGGCTAATAATATCCCTCATCTCTTTTAGCACTATAGGTAAGATGCCATCAGGGCCCTGCGATTTCTTTATTTTGAGCTTAGCTAGGTCTTGTACCACATCAGCCTCAGTTATACATGTATTGGTCATAGACCATGCTGTATTAATACTAAATGGTGGTAAGTTACTTGTGTTCTCCACTGTAAACACCCGTGAAAAATAATCATTAAACTCATTTACTATGTCAATTTCATTTTTAATTATAAGGCCACTTATAATCCACTAATATTGCACAGAAAAGAGGACATATTTCTGGAACACTGAGGCAGAGGATATCACATGAATGTCAGTCATGTTGATTTTTCTCCAGCCCATCTATTTCGGTCTGCTTTGTGAGCGCTTTACCCATAAACCCCGGTGCTCGCCGAGTGCTGCGCATCAGCGTGTTGCTGCAGCCACAATAGAGGAGGAGGCAGCGGACTAAGCGGCGCACACAGTTGTAGTCAAATGGTAACTTTTTCTTCTGACAAAAATACGTATGTCAAACAAAGAGTCTATTCCTGGGAAATATGTAAAAAAATATATATATATATATAAGAATGCAGCAAGTGGGTTAGCAGTGAGTTAAAAATCAACTGTGTTATGGCAGAAATTCAGACAGACATGTCCTGAGCCATAAGAAACCTCTGAAGGATCTGGAGTCCCCAATTATAACCACATACTCATCAATCGATCCATGCATCCATATTCTACCTAATTATCCTGGTCAGGGGTAATGAAGAGCTTGGAGCTTTCACCAGGAAGGACCGGTCACAAGGTAGGGGTACACTATGGATAGGATGCCAGAACCATACACTCACATCCCTAAATTATACAGCAGCTTCCTTTAACCTCTCTCTTTCTCTCTCTTTCTCTCTCTCTCATGTCTGTGTGAAATTGAGGTCATAGTGTCCATTTTGATGCCAGGTCTCCTAAATCCATCCCAAAACCACAGGGACTTATGAAGTGCAGATTAACACAAGGGAAACGGCCTACATAAAACAAGGGGGTGAGCGGTCAGATCCCGCATGTTTGCCGGGGCAGGGGCTGCCGTATCCGTCACCCTGACCACAACCACACGCACACTGCTGGGAAGCAGGGGGCACTAAAGGGCACAGCTGCATGGGCTCCTGTTTCAGCATGCCACCATGCCTGGGTTCGGGTGAAGTAAAGGGCACAGTTTCACCAGGTGGAAGGAGTGAGCAATGACTAGGCGAGTGGGCTGCGGTCGAATCTGGGGGGAGAAACTGCAGCAAACTGTACTTCTGAAGGACTCCAAAGGATCCTCTCTGATGCACGATGACACCCAGTGGACAGCAAGTGAAGGAGTGAGTGAGTTTTATGGGCATTTTGTCTCCTTTATTCCACTCAAGTTCAGTTAAAACATCACTTACTGCCATAAAAACCTCTGAAATTATGTGGCAGAACAAGTGAAAGCCATTCAACCAACCAAACAACCTTGTCAAAAACAACCCATTTATAATTATAAATGATCAGGAGCACCGTTCACTTACAGTATATTGATATCTGAAATTTTTTCATCACATGACAGCTGCATCTAAGGGCTTTTAATTAAATTCAGTTTCCTTTGATATAATGCCTTTCTCAATAGAGTGCTTGACCAGGAACCACTTAAGTGGTACTTAATGGTATGCAGTAGTTTAAGGTAACTATACTAAAAATGAATGTTAAAAAAGACCAGCAGACATCAGAGAAGTGGAAACAACTCTCCATAGTTTCACAGAGGAGGAAGAGATAACCAAAAAGTCATCAAGGTCAACTGGTTGATCACCCCAAACATTTTAACAATACAGAAAGGGCTCACACTGGGTACCATGTGCTTCATAGGCCAGTCCTTTCATCACACAGCAGGAAGCTTTTGTTCAGAGACTGACAGCTAAAGGTTTTCACTCCCTTGCAGCCCTCCCGCCTGCATCACTGCTCCTCTTTCTCCTCTCTGACATTTTATTTCCACCGTGGGTGCCCTGCTTCTCCATCAGGCCGAAGGTTCATCTGCTCATAGATGGTGCCAGATCTTTTCAAAATCCTTCCTCCTCACTGACGAATATCTTATTTCAATAAGGCTGCATCAAATTGATCTGACTGAATTTGAGGAGGGGAAGAGAGCAGGAAAGCAGTTCTGCTGGGTCTGTGCATAACAGTCTGTCCCCAGGATCTCCCATACCAGTCACACCACTTCACACAAATACCCCTTCAGGTCTCCTTTCACACTCCTTAAGTTGCTAATTCATGTATGAGTTCAAACAATAAAAATCCATGGATCATTTTTCGAATCACTGGCTTCATCATCATGACTGGGTCTGTGGACCATTCTGGACAGGTAATCACACTAATGTTCTTAATATTCTTACATTTTTTGAAAGATTTTCAGACATTATACAGTCAAGAGTCAAGGCATTTCTTTCCAATTTCCAATGTAAAATTTTCACTGTAGTGTCTTTCCAAAAGTTACAGAAAAATATTGTATAGGAAATTGTACAGTTGTGTTCAAAATTATTCAACCCCCACTGAAATTGAGTGTTTTGGCCAGTTTGACATTGATTTTGATCATTTCAGTCATCTTGTTTACAATTAAATCAGAGGCACTTGTAAGTCAGACAAATATAACATAACATTTATAATGAAATAACCACAAATGTCTTTTCTGTGCTCACATCATTATCAGTTTTATTCAACCCTCAAGTGACATTCATTCTTAGTACTTAGTACAACATCCTTTTCCAGTTATAACATCTTTTAAACGTGAAGCATAGCTTGACACAAGTGTCTTGCAGCGATCTACGCGTATCTTAGCCCATTCTTCATGGGCAAAAGCCTCCAGTTCAGTCACATTCTTTGGCTTGCGCGCTGCAACTGCTTTCTTTAAGTCCCACCAGAGGTTCTCAATCGGATTTAAGTCTGGTGACTGCGATGGCCACTCCAAAATGTTCCAGCCTTTAATCTGCAACCATGCTCTAGTGGACTTGGAGGTATGCTTGGGATCATTGTCCTGTTGAAAGGTCCAACGTCTCCCAAGCCTCAGGTTTGTGACGGACTGCATCACATTTTCTTCCAATATCTCCTGGTACTGAAGAGAATTCATGGTACCTTGCACACGCTGAAGCTTCCCTGTACCTGCAGAAGCAAAACAGCCCCAAAGCATGATTGACCCCCCGCCATGCTTCACAGTAGGCAAGGTGTTCTTTTCTTCATAGGCCTTGTTCTTCCTCCTCCAAACATAGGGTTGATCCATGGGCCCAAACAGTTCTAATTTTGTTTCATCAGTCCACAGAACACTATCCCAAAACTTTTGTGGTTTGTCCACATGACTTTTGGCATACTGCAGTCGACTCTTCTTATTCTTTGGAGACAGCAAGGGGGTGCGCCTGGGAGTTCTGGCATGGAGGCCTTCATTACGCAGTGTGCGCCTTATTGTTTGAGCTGAAACTTCAGTACCCGCATCTGACAAATCTTTTCTCAGTTCCT